TGAGGCAAGCTGGAGCTAAACTCTGCAGGACACCGGCCCTCCAGGGACGAGTTTGGGCACCGATATCAGTTGAGCACACATGGCACTCCTCACTAGCTGATTAGATATGCAAATGAGGAAGCGTTGCTCTCTACCTAGCACGAAATGAAAACTCTGCAAAAGTCATTAGCGAATTCATTCAGGGAAGGTTTTGTTATTTTTGGTTTGAGGGAAGAGACCAATGACAATCAGCGAATGAATGCAGTATCTAAAAACCCCACATCTGCTCGCTTGTATCATACTTAATTCAGAACAACAATTAGAAAAAAACTGAATAGCAGTGGTGTAAATGTATTTTGTCTTGCAAACCTGAATCCTTTAAAAAGCACATGCAACTTTTTTTTGTAATGCATACAGGAGTGTACAATAATAATAATAATCATAATAATGAAAGGATTGTATAATAATTAGTATTGTTTTGGGGTATTAAAGCTACTTAAATATGCCTATTATTGAGACTTGAATATTTGCACTCAATTACATTTTAAAGATAAAAATAAAAAAATGACTTAATTTCACCTTCAAACTTAAAGTACTATAATTGTAGTACTTTGGGTGGGTATATATATATATATATATATATTTAGTTAGTCAGTCTAGTCTATACACATGTATGTGTGTGTGTGTGTAACAGATCATTATGAAATAATGATAGACAATGAAGTCCATTAGCCTGCATTCATGCATCAGATGTAACTGTCCACATTGATTATTGTGAAGAGACATTATTGTGAAAAGTCACTACCACAGCAGATATATAAATGTTTTAATCAGGGGTTTATATGGTTTTGCCATCTATGGTTGTGTCCTAAAATCTTTTGTAATCAGGATATTGGATAATAAGGAATCTGCACTCTTTTTTTTAAATTATTATTTAAATTTTTCCTCGAAACCTACCTAAAAGTTTGCCTCAACTTTTAGTATGTTTTTGGCAAGATTATTAGATTTGAGATATTAGACGATTTCTTTGCTTTTACGCCTCTAAACAGACACTTCTAACGCATCTGGTGATCAACACAGCAGTCCGATCACAAAATAATCCACGCACAAAAACAAAAAGGTATTTAGGACTTTTCAGTATTAAGGACTTTTGGGGTTGTGTAACGTGAGACCAACGTGCGCCTAAAATGCATGTGACGTTTGGCGGTCTCGTGATGATCAGTTCCTGATTCTGATTGGCTGCTACTATCTCCGTCACTGGTCGTGTGCCGAGTGAACTGAGCGCCGATTGGCTGGTTTGGTTCGAGCGAATGGATTGGGTCATTTCTCGTGACTGGTGGCAGTGTTGCCAAGTCCGCGGTTTTCCCGTGGAATTGGGCTACTTT